TTTGTCATAAGTAGTTCTGAAAAAAGAAGCTTTTATCTTCTTCTCTTCAATGGCATTTTCAAATTTTATTTTACATGCAAAAAAGGAAAGAGCGAAAAATACCCTTGTAAGTATATCACATCATACAATTGTTATAATAGTTTGAGACGGGAATCAAAATAATAAACTAGAATGCACAGATCAAATGTCTAAACAGTCTTCAAATTAAGACTCTTACCAATTAAATCCTCGTTTGAATACAGAAAGAGATGTATATCAGACCACTATATAACTGAAAGGAAATGGATGTCTTTTCAATTTTGTAATTTCAGGTTTTCACCATTATAAATATGTGCAGTATCTATTTTCATTGTTCTCCTGTTGATTTCTAAACAATTGTTATATAATTCAAAAGAACATCAGTATTTATATATGTCTGCATGTCCCCCAAAGTAAAATGAATGTGTTAAATATCTTTTATCCAAAAGAGAACCATCACAGTACATAACTATGTTCTTCATAGCTAATAACTGAAGTTAATGACTTCAGAAGTTATTAAATCTTTCAGTTACTTCTTCAAAAGATATATGAGTCTAACATATTCTCCCTCTTTTCCTCTCCTCTCCTTTCCTCTCCAACAGTCATTTTAGGTTTTTAGATTTATATCCTGTCTTTCTTCTCAAACTGATACAAAAAATGGAGTCCATGGGACACATCATATCTACAGCATCACTTGTTGCTCCCAGCTCACGCTGAGGCTGGTGGCACATATCTCGCAAAGGTGGGAGCTTATGGAACAGTTGTATATCTTCCAAATAATTAAGGCATTCATATCAGCCTTTAAAACTTCTAAACCTCCACATTGGTTCACAGATTTGCCCATTGTGTAGCCCTCAATAAAACTTTGTGTGGTCCTCAAGATGACCTTCTGCTTTAGAAGTTTAAGCCATCAGGCACTATATATACTTTTGCAATTTGATCTTCACAAAACAATATTGTAAAATACGCTGAGCTAAGAGAAAGTAATTGGGACAAAGTCACCTACTAACCTTCCAGATTTAGCCCAATATATATCTCTAACTGGCTCTTGTAAATAAAAAGGCAGAATCTTCCTCTTCTGTGATCAGGTGAGTTATGATAATCATCTCAGGAGTTTATTGACATTGTAAAAATCTGCCACTTGGTAGAAAAATGTTATAACTGTTTACTGTTCACTGTGTTCTTGACTATGGGCAGAGTCAAAGTGGTGCCTGGGGCAGCATCATGCAGTTATCTGAGATGCCTTCCTGCCTGTAGATGCCAATGAAGTGTCTAGAATGTTCTCTGATATGACTTCTGCCATCCATGTCCATCAAGTTTCTATCTCTGTGTATCTGGCTATCCGGTCTTTTCTTGAAAATCTCCAGTAATGGAGCGTCCACAAGTTCAGGGAGACAAGCCTTTCCACTGATTGTTTTCAGAGAGAGAGATGGTCTGGGAGATAGTCAATGGAGATGATGCTAGCCTTGAAATAGACATTAGTATGCTATCACCTCAAAATACGATCTTTCCTGGAGCCAGTCTATTTTTAGACTTCTCATGGTTAACTGGTATCACTGACCACAATTTACTTCTGGAACATCTACAAGAGTTGGAAGTTGGAGGTGCTGTGTCACAGTGGGTGGGTGGGGGAGACAGGTTGGTCTAGTGGGTGTTCCCTTGCAGGGTGCCACAGAGGTTTTTCAATATAATTATTTGAATCATTCCCCCATGCTTGATAGAATCATAATTTCCAATAAACAATGAAAGCTTTGGTATATAATAGCAGTAGACTTATATACCGCTTCATAGGGCTTTCAGCCCTCTCTAAGCGGTTTACAGAGAGTCAGCATATTGCCCCCAACAATCTGGGTCCTCATTTTACCCACCTTGGAAGGATGGAAGGCTGAGTCAACCTTTTCAACATCATGTTAACTTCTTAAAATTTAAATATTTCCCTTTGAATCGACTTATGTGCATTAAAATACTATTCCAAAAATATACCAGATTATCACATGCCCCTATAATATGGGTTAATGAACCTTCGGTTTTGTAAATCACCAATGTAGAAAATCCATCCTTTCAAATACATCCTTTGGGGTGTCAAATATACCATGAATACAATTTGTGATGAATCAACTTTAATCTCAAATCTGTAGATACCATTTAAGGGACATAAAGCCATTGATGAGGTATTACTGGATACTAGTTCTTTAGTCCATGTTTGAAATATACGGTACTACAAATATCCACTTTAAAAATATTATTGGTATAAGTTTTACTTCTCTCATTGAGTCCATGTAAGAAAGCAACTCAGGTGCCTCTGAAGATGCAAAAGTAGCAGGCCCATATTGGTTCATTAGAACATGCTTAAATTGAAGATGTTCACTCTTTCTGACAGGTATGGAACTACAAATTCTGGGATTAGTGCAATGCATTCTACTTGAGATTGCCCTTGAAGACTACTAAAAATGACTGTTGATACAAAATGTAATAGCCTGCATTGACTGTTCATATTCTGGGTACAGTTCAAAGTACTGATTTCAACCAATACAGCCCTATATGAATTTGGTCCCAAATACCTTCAGGACCAACTTTTTCATATAGAATTGATCAATAGTGTGTCCTCTCTAACAAATCATATTAATATTTCCCCACTTTTGTGAGATTAAGAGGGCAGGAGCTCATAGACAGTAGATTCTTTTATACCTGCTTTAAAGAAGGTTTTCTGGAACGTAGTGAAAATAGGTCTTCCAGAGAACATCTGAAAGATAATAGATTAGTGCTGTTTGGATTACCAGATGTTGCTTTGGTCTGCATTTATGTGCCGTTTTACTGATGTCACCCATCAGGAGTGTGTGCAGGTTGTGATATTATGCAAAACAAATACATATATTTGCTGAGGAGAAAACTATATCCCTATTCCTTAATTGGGCTAAATGAAAAATAAATCTTGATCTTGCGCATCTGAACATGCAATAATTCCTATCTATAATTAGGACATTTAAAGGCAAAAAAAGTAGGACTATATTACTACAAGGGAAAATTTGTGGAACTCTCTTTTGGGACAATCTCAGTATAAAAGAATAAGTCCTATCTTAGATTTCCCTTAGTTCCATTAAAAATGGAAATACTCCAAGCTGAAAAGGAAAATACAGCAACAATACTTTTTGGTTTAGCATATGTCAGATGATAGCATCTCTGGCATCAGATGTTAGTTTTCCAAAAGCAATTACAAACTCCTCCAGACTGGCTAACTGGGCTCAGATTTACTAATCCAATCATGTTTCCCTTTTAAAATCACTTGTCAACATTCAGTTGAAATAAGGTAGCATTTATTCTGCAGCCAAATTGGAATTTAAGTGCATACTGGGAGATTTTTATTTTTGGTGCAGTGATTTATAAGCAAACATTTAAAGAGCAGCTTGATATAAAACTGTAAAGTTTTAGCATAGTTGTTCTTAAATTCATTTGCCTAGGTTTTCATGGAAAACAATTTTTTTTACTGTCAGTGTTCCAAGAAATATCCTCTTTTGTTCCTGGTGGATATTACAACATTTTTAATTTGTATGTGCAGTAAAGAGATAAGAGAAAGCACTCCATATCATTTACCAGGCTATCTTCAAATATGTCAGAGTATATTTCCCTATCTTTGATGAAAGGGCACAATTTAGGCTGCATGAGTAGATCAAACAAACTGATGTGCCATCCATCAGTTAAATAAATGACATCAAGATTGTACAAGCCTGATGTGAAATAGAAGAAAACAGGACAGAGCCATAGTCACTGAAAGACCAACTTAAACCTTTCTTTATCACCCAGAGAATTCAGTTTTCCAACTGAAGGTAACAGTGATGTTTGATGAAATAGAATCCTCTTGACAAAAACTTATGCCACAATGAATCTGTTAGTTCTTAAAATGCCACAGAACACACATACACACACATGCACACACTCTTTCTGTTTTTGCTGCAACAGATCAGTATGTGTCAAACACAAATGCAAACATCTGCTCCATGCAGAGCAGCAGAACCAAGTCATGAATATGATCATCTCTTTTTAATGCATAAAAATGGAAGCAAGATCTCTTCATTCATACCAAACCTACAATAATGCCTCCTAGACAAGATGCAGTTGGAGCAATCAGAGCCCCTTTTGGTTCACCATTGCTTCGTAAATACCTCTAAGACCAACATAGCTGACCAGCAGGCACAGAGACAAATGGCAAGCAATCTTCAATTGCATTTCTTGTCAGGCTGATGAGTTTTGGGATAGGTTTTTTTTGCCTAAATATAAATTCCTCTCTTATTTTATACCTGCTCAGAAACATTCTTAACAACAAAATCCTTGTTATATTTCACAGATAAGCCTTACCAATGAAAACATATGCTGGATCTAAACACCACTGTGTTCCTGCACATACAAAGACCATAATTATTGGTGCAAGAAATCAAGATCTCTTATTAGCCAAGGATCCCAAAGATGCTTGCACCGTTTCTTCTAATACTGTCCCTTCAACCATAGCAATGACAGGTAGCAATTCAAGAGGGGCATCAAGTTGCAGTCCCAAGGAACAACTCTTGCAGCATTTTCTGCCTGCAATGTTTTAAACTGCCCCAGAAGAAAGGATATGGGAGAAATGGTAACTCTTCTGGACCATCTCTCTCTCTCTCCTCGTCTTCTTTTCTACCCACCAGCTCCACCTGGGGAGGGATGTGATTTGTGCTCAACTTAGAGCTCAGCCCAGTCGAAACATCTCTCTGTCCAGGAATTCGTTCACTCATTTAATCTTTTTTTTTTAGAGAGGAGTCTGAATGTCTCAGCCCTTCTCAGTAAATGACCACGAAGGGGTACACTGCTTCTGAAGATGGAGGCTCGACTTATCTGTCACGGTTAAGAGCCGTCGCCGGCTCGCCCTCCTCCTTCGTGCCTCCTTCCCTTTTCCCGCGCCTCCTTAATTAGCCTGGCAGGAGAGGCGCCACGCGGCGGCCGAGCTCCCCTACCTGCGCGCAATTCTCTCATCGCCGGCGAGCAGGCAAGCGGACGGCGGCAACGACGCAGGGAGCCCGGCGCCCGGCTGCTCCTCTGCATTTGCTAGCTTTCCCCTTCGCAGCCCAGCCTATCAATTATTCAAGTAGGTTGCGGCGTCCTTTTCTCCTCCCCTTCCGCTGCCGCGACTCCACCTGCAGACGGCAGCCGTGCTTCGGCTGAGGGCGATTTGGCGGAGAAGGGGAAAGGGGCGCGGGGACACCGGGAGGGCGGACTTGGATGTCTATGCCCTCCCGAGGATATACGGCTCAGAGCCCCCTCCCGATTCTGCTTCCCGTGAAGGAGATGAGGGAAGCGGCGCTAATCTGAGCCCAGTTACAACAGGCAGGGCAGTTTTCTGTTTCCCCCGAGCTAGCAATTTTGATGGTTTGAAATTAATGTCTTGAACTCTCTCAAAATCAGGTTCGTGACCTCTGGACGGCAGCCCAATCTGAGTAGGATTTGGGGTATTATTTTTTTTTACTTTAACGTGTGTATGGGGAGGGGGTTTTGTGTGTGTGTGTGTGTGTGACGAAAGCAAAACCTGCCTAACATAGTTTGTCTCAGTCCCGACAACCAGCAGGGGTGAGGTGGCTGGTGGCGTCTAGTCAGTCCGATCCTTTCTGTGCTCCCTTGAAGCCAGATTCCCCCAGTGCACCATCTTTGGAGACAGTCCCGTGGTTTGTTTGCTTTTTTTGCTAAGCCACACAATGAAACAGGGGAAGAACCCAAAGTCTTGTGTGACCTTGGCTACACATTTTCCAAGCTTGCAATAGGAACCTGTCCCTGTAGAAACAAGAAGTTAAATAGAAATCTTCAATGAAGAGGAGAAGTGGTGATCAATATCTTAGTGTTTGGTTTCATTAAAGATTTTCTGTTAATTGCCCCTTTTTAAAGTGGATGGGAGAGAGAAGTTTCAATTCACATGCAGATTAATTCCTTTTACTGTAAAATAATCTAGAAAAAAAGGGTTTGATTTATGCTGGGAAATTTCATGGCTTGGAGTGGGACTTTGGCTCGCTTGAGCTCTATCACTGAGACAAAAAACAAACATTGGCTAAGTTTGTGTGCTGTGTTAGGCTGTGATTGTTTTAACCATGTTTTTTGTAGTCAGGTTCGCACAAAACTCTGAATTATGTACTGTGATGCAAATAATAATGGGCTGGGTTTGCACATCCACTAAATCAAGGGCCATCCACTAAATCTAGGGCCATCCCATTCTTACTCAGAACAATGTATAAGCCCATATGTTTCTCAAAAGTATTGATCATTCCCACTCATGATCTTTGGGGAATATCCTCAAGTCCACCTGCTATCTTCCTCCTTTCAGCAAATGCAAATTCCCCTCTCTTTTCAGGAACTGCCATAACTCATTCTGAAGTCACCATCTGAAATTAATCATAGCTTCTATTAAATAGCAAAGGCGTAGATAACTTCAGAATTGGGAGAAAGAGAAGCGAGTGGGTGGGATCAAATCACTCTATAAATGGGCTTGGTTGTAGGGAAATTTAAATTTGTATTAATTTTTAAGACATGACATACTATACCTATTTGAGGGCTGACAACAGTCTTTATTTCTTTCCCACTTGAAAATGGCAGAAAAGTAGCCTTTCATTTTTTAAGAATCCTAGAAAAAGGGAGGGAGAGACAGTTTGGTGTAATGATTCAGACACCAGACTGGAAACTTGAAAGATTGTGACTTCTAGTCCTATCTTAAGCATAAAGTCAGCTGGGTAAATTTGGGTTAGTTTTAGGATTTAGTTTAGGGACCAAGTAAGACTTGATAGCAGCAGATTTGGTTTTATGACTTTAGATGTTCTATGGGGGTGGGGTTTGTTTTAAGCATCCAAAGAAGCAGATAAATAGCTGGGTCTTCTTCCTTCTGTGACTCTGCTTTTCAGTTGCCCTTTCTCCCCTTTTTGCCTTGCTCAAGTGGAAGAGTTTGTCCTTCTTTACTCCTTAAATCTGTCTCTTCTTTCAATGTGATCACAGATAGGCTTAAACACCTCAATGCTCAGATCTGATCTGGCTTCTGCACTGAAATACCTGCAAACTCATCTCTTCATGAAATATATTTGTAGCAAACAACGTCTGGCTATCAGTTGCTACTGATCATATTTAATTTCCAGAGAGAAACTGCCAGAAGCAATTTGTGGCCTGGATTATGCTTCTCCTACAGTATTACAGAAAGCTAACTAGAGGAGCTTTTCAGCGGTGCAACTGAGCTCTTGTATCTGAAGGGAGTTTCATGCACATAAAAGAAAGCTATATATGAATCTCTGTGCCTGATGTAACAAATACAAGTGTTAGCGTAGAGAGGGCCATCCAAGAAGTTTTGCTGCATTGGGGGAAAAGTTTCTCCCAACTCCAACCCCTTGTCATGAACAGAAATTAGCCAGACAACTCTGCAGTCAGTCAGTCAGTCTCTCTCTCTCCCCCATCTTTCCCTCCCTCCCCATCACCCTGGGCACTGCCTCAGGACAAGCAGTCTCTTTTGCTACCTGAGGTCAGTTTAGGAGTTGGTGGGTGGGCACATAGCACAAGCAGTCTTGTCTTTCAGGTAACTTACTGTTCTCTTGCCTCTGTTCTAGGGTTTACTGTATCTCTTGGCTGCCATCTTGTGGAAATTTGGGTTTTGTAGCCCAGCACATCGCATATCATGTTTGCTGACAAATGCTGCAGTGCAAGAATGCCCATGTTATCTGCTAGACCAGTCCCAGAATCCTCCCAGTTAGCTAGCATAGCCATTAATACGAATGCTGGGAGTTGAAATCCATTCATCTAGATTGAAGTTGTTTTTCAGGTAAAGGCTGTTGAGCATGTTTAATCAGTCCGTAGCCTTTCTAAACTGCCTTGTGCCTGGGTCTAGGTGGCATGAAAAGGTAACTCAGATTAGGTAATCGGGGGGCGGGGGGGAGGAACATTGACTCAAGAAGATGGAAATTCAGTTTCTATTCTGTCATACCTACCAGAATTTTCTGCCCAAGGCAGCCAGCTCTTTATGCCTAATAGCCAGCCTGCCCAGCTCAAGCAGATGCTGATCTCTTTCAGATTGCGCTGAGCAGGTCAACAATGCTCTCCAGTTGTTCCATCTCTTGCATAACTTAATATTCCATCTGGTATTTAATGGATTACTTTAGGTTTTATTGCTCAACATTAGATATTCTAAAGGAATGTGGAGAGGCTGCTTTTCTGCTGGGTTTATTAGAACACTGACTCTTCAAGGCAGTTCTGTCAAAATGGATGCCATCATTGTCTGGTTGTGCTCCCACACAACAGCTCAGAGGCTGCAGAGTAGCTAAAAAAATATAGACAACACAGCAATGGCTACTGCTTTGCTCCTGTCTCTATCCTGGGGTAAACAAGAATGGAAATGTTTCTCTGCAAAGCTGTAGCTCAATATAAAATGCAATGGGCTTGAATCCCTCCAAGGGTTAATAGCAGAGGTGGTATATTCATCAGGTTCTGACCAGTTCTGGAGAACCGGTAACGGAAATTTGGAATAGTTCGGACAACCTGTAAATACCACCTCTGAATGGCCTTGCTCCCATCTATTCTCTGTCTACCGAGTCCCAGATGATGATGAGGAAATGGGGATTTTGCAGTATCCTTCCCCTGCCATGCCCAGCAAGCCACACCCACAGAACCGCTAGTAAAATTTTTTGAATCCCACCACTGGTTAATAGTGCAATACAATAAAAGCTCAGATGCTGACCTCAAAATACCTGGCACCTGCACAGCCTTCTACATATTATCCAACCACACAATGTGCTTCACTTTGTTGCTTTCCTCTTAGTAGCTGGAAGTTCATGCCCATATTTCCTGTTCCACTGCTATGGTATCAACTGGATTACAGGTAGTCCTCAACTTACGGCCACAATAGAGCCCAGAATTTATATTGCTAAGTGAGAAATTAGTTAAATGAAATTTGTCCCATTTTATGACTTTTTTTGACACATTCGTTAAGCAAATCACTGCAGTTGTTAAATTAGTAACACAGTTACGTAAGTGAATCTGAGGTTCCCATTGACTGTCAGAAGGTTGCAAAAGATGTTCCTATGACCCTGGGACACTAACCATCGTAAATATGAATCAGTTGACAACATCCAAATGTAAATCGCGTGACCATGGTCAACAGTCATAAGTATGAAAAATGGTCATAAGTCACTGTTTTCAGTGCTGTTGTAACTTTGAACGATCTCTAAGTGATCTGTAAGTTGAGGACTACCAGAGGACTACCAGTATTGCATCAACAGGTCCTGTGGTAGGGGACCAGTTTCATCACCCCTGGAACTGAAAGGGTGAATCCTGAGTGTTTTGCAACCCCAGCAGAGAGGTTACATGGAGATTTAAAACTCCCAGCCCCCTTAGGTTGTAGATCTATCATGAAGATGGGAAGGAGTATTCCTAACCCTCATCTTCCTATTGGTTTCATTATTGGTTCTTCCTATTTCATTATTGGTTGTTTGTTGAATATGTAGATAGGTAGCCCTCAACTTAAAATGGCAGTTTCCATCACTAAGTGATGCAGTCATTAGATAAAATACCATGGGACTGCACTGCTTCGTGATAAGAGTCCCAATGGTCCTTATTGCAGTTGTTAGGCCAGGGCAATGCCATCCTTATCTCCCACTCCAACTCTGTCCTTTTGGCTGTCCTGACTCTGCCACCTACCCCTGCCACCCCCTACTGCTGGCAGCTAACCTTTGCCATTTTCTTTCTGATGGTGATCCAGAGTGCAAGGTGCATAGTATGTGTTAGAAGCACCCCTGGAGAACTGGTCCGTGGGCTTCAGTGCATCAGAAGCTGCTAGTGCTTTGCAAGGCTTTGCAGGAGGAAGGCAAAGCCATGAATGTGTAGACCAGTGATGGCCTTTTCTCCACCTTGTTTTCCAGGAATTCTTCCAACACGAACTGCAGAGTGTGTGCTGTGTCTCTGGGAAACTCACATCCTTCCACTTCCTTCAATCCTGCCACCATCCCGAATAGTCCTACAACAATATTTTAGGGCATCCCTAGATCAGTGTTTTTCAACCTTTTTTGTGCAAAGGCACACTTTTTTCATGAAAAAAATCACGAGGCACACCACCATTAGAAAATGTTAAAA